CCCCTCACAACTCCTACGCCTTCAGTCCTCCTCCATCCTACCTCCCTCACCCACATCTTCAATCTCTCCCTCTCCTCAGGCACTTTCCCCTCCCCTCTGAAACATGCACACATCATACTTAAAAAGCCCTCCCTGGACCCCAATGACAACAACCTCAGACCCATCTCCCTGCTCCCATTTACATCTAAACTCCTCGAGCGCCTAGTCTACACCCGCCTATGCTCTCACCTCAACGACAACAAATTCCTCGATCCCCTACAGTCCGGCTTCCGTCCCCTACACTCCACCAAAACTGCCTTACTCAAACTCTCCAACGACCTGCTAACCTCCAAAGTTAATGGCCACTATTCAGTGCTCCTACTCCTTGACCTCTCTGCGGCCTTCGACACAGTCGACCACCCCCTCTCCTCAAAAAAACGACACTCCCTCGGCCTCAGAGATTCTGCTTCTCCTGGCTCTCATCCTACCTGTCACAACACTCCTTCAGCGTTACCTATAATGCACCAGCTATCCCCCTCTCTATTGGGGTCCCTCATGGCTCTGTCCTCGGGCCCCTTCTCTTCTCCATCTACATTGGCCAACTATACACTCTCACGGACTTCAACTACCACCTCTATGGCTACGACACACAAATCTATTCTCAACCCCCCACCTCACCCCCTTGGTAAGCCCGAATCACACACCTACTGAGCGACATATCAGACTGGATGTCACTCCACTTCCTTAAATTGAACCTCTCCAAAACCGAGTTTCTTGTCTTCCCCCAGCCCGGACACCACCCCCCCCCCATTGATTTCTCCGTCACATCCAACAACGCTACCATCAAACCCGCCCTGCAGGCCAGAGTACTGGGTGTCATTCTGGACTCCAACCTATCCTTCCAGCCCCATCCAATCTTTAACAAACTCGTGCAGACTCCACCTCCGCAACATCGCCAAAATAGCACGTTCCTAACCCCAGAAACCACTAAACAGCTCATCCACTCCCTCATCATATCACGACTCGACTACTGCAACCCTCCTCACTGTGATGCCTCGCCGCTGGCTATCCCCACTTCAGTCGATCCTGAATACGGTGCCAGACTATTCACCTTTCCAACCGCTCTGTCTCCGCCACCCCCCTCTGCCAATCCCTCCACTGGCTTCCGATTGCGCAGGATCAAATTCAAAATGCTACATGACGTACAAAGCTGTCCACCATACTGCCCCGTACTACATCTCTGACCTAATATCCAAGTACCGCCCAGCACGCACACTCCGCTCCTCACAAGACCTTCTTCTCTCTAGTTCCCTGGTCTCCTCCTCCCATGCCCGCCTCCAGGACTTCTCCAGGGTGTCACCCATCCTCTGGGAAATGCCCAACCCATCAGTTTCTAAGTTTAGGCGCACCCTGAAAACCCATCTCTTTAGGGAAGCCTACCCCACCCCCTGAAACTTGAAGACCTCCTCCATCAGTTACCACTCCATCCCCCACAGCTTTCACCTGTGCCAAAGATTGTAAAGCTCGAATGAGCAGAGCCCTGATAATGTTTTGCATTGTATTGGTATTCATGCTATGACATATTCTGTTTGTAATGTACAGCACTGAACAATTGGCGCTTTATAAATACTGTATAATAGAATTCTAATAATGGTCAGATATCTCCAAACTTCACATTTTTCAAAACCTGACTATACCATGCTTCATCATTTATTGTGTTGACCTTTTTTCAAAGTTTTTAAAACATCCAGTGTTACGTGTGCTGACCATTTAAATATTTTAATAAGCTATGCATCTTTGTTTAATATGCGGTGGGCAGTCTACTATTGCTATTTGAACCTGTGTCACATAAACACTAAATCATTTACATTTTGTGAACAAGCATTAAAAGCAAATCATTCTGCATGCTGCTCCCTCCACAGCCCCCCTAATACTTACTTGAGTCCAATCTCGATCCTGCACGGTGCATGGAAGCCTCAGCTTTCCTGGGTCTCTCTTCCCTCATTCATTGAGACACAGTAATGGGAGCCATTGGCTCCCACTGCTGTTAAGTTACAGCCAGTGAGGAGTCTCCCTAAGCTCTATGGTCACATGCCTGATGAAGGGGTCCTGTGAGACGCCGAAACGTTGCCTTGCTGTAACTATGTGATCGTTCATTAAAACATTTGGACCCATATTGGTGCTGGTGACATTCTCCCTTGCTGATTCTGTTCAGTTCCAGACGATGGTCGCTGCAGCACCCATTTATACACACAGCCATTTTTAACGCAGGAAACGTGTGCATTTTGGATTGTACACTTGCATCCCTAAGCTCTTATTCACACCTGAGCGTTTTGTCATGCGATTCTCAAAGCACGACAGTGCTCATAATGAAGAATCACATAATGCCCAATGGCCCGCTGTCACCTAAGCATTGTATTATTTGTTGCCTGTTGTGTAAAGCTCTTGGGCAACCTGTAGTACTGGAATAGAGTAGTGATTTTTGGCATCATAGACTTTAATGGGAGCACCTGAAAAATGCTTTTCCTGTACTACAGGTTGCCCAAAAGAATTATAAAAAAAAAAAGCCTCTCACGCTCAAGTGTGTAAATAGGGGGCTTAAAGTCCTAGAGAGGTCAGTTATGGCTTGTTCTAATGATCTTTTAGACTTTACTCAGATATGTTGCCACTGGCAAAAACCTAGTTTGTGTCCAGTTCCAGCTATTCTGGACGCAACTAATCATTCAGTTTGTATGCAGCCGTAGCACAGAGTGCTGCTGCGTCCAGATGCAGTGTTAGGCTGGCCACACATTATACAATTTTCTTGAGAATTTTTCTTTAGATTTACCAAAAAAAAACAAATAATATGAGGTCAAATCTAAACAACACTTTCAATTGTATCCAATTAGGCAGACCCTTGCACTACATAGTTGAAGGTAAATCTAAAGAAAATTGGACAGAAAATTGTATAGTGTATGGCCAGCCTAAAGCTGCATCTGAAAGCAGCAACAAATTTGCCCTCTGAAAAACCGAAACATAAGCCCCCACTTTTAAGATTTCTTTTTTTATTAGTTTGCACTGTTTTAATGGTTATTGAAATAAACTATGGAAAATATTTTTTAAAGAGATTTTTACTTACCTGTGTGGTACCTTAAAAATCTGTGGCTTCTTCTTAGTGTATATAGAATGTCGATGGAATTTTGGATGTGACGCCTTTCACTATCAAGTATAATTATACAGTGTTTTGCATTTTACCCTTACAAGCAGTGTAATTGCAGCCTCTTGCCATCCCCTGTACCAGAAGCCATAGACTTAGAAAGGGAGAAGTAGCATTAGCAGCTAGCCAGCTGTGCTGCAGTGCTCATGTTCTAACAAGTGACATGCTTATAATAGAAGAGAATGGACTGGCAGAGAGCTCTTGAGTGTACTGCGTTTCTTTCCTTTGTCTTGAACGAACTAGAAGCAGAGAAAAAGCAGGTAAAACAGATCCATTATACATTATTATATGCTGAGAAAAGGTATTTGCCCCCTTCCTAATTTTTTTTTTTAAATCTTTTTGCATATTTGTCACACTAAAATGATTCAGATCTTCAAGCAAATTTTAATATTACACAAAGATAACTTGAGTAAATACAAAATTCAGTTTTCAACAATGATTTCATTTATTAAGGGAAAAAAGTTGCCCAAACCTGCCTGGCCCTATGTGGAAATTTACTTGCCACACTTAGGTCTGATTACTGCCAGAGCTGTTGAATCAAGAAATCAAATAAATAGAAGCTATCTGATAAAGTGAAGCACACTAAAAGATCTCAAAATGTAACACATCATGCCGCGGTCTAAAGAGATTCAAGAACATTAGAGAAACAATGTAATTGACATGTATCAGTCTGGAAAGAGTTACACAGCCATTTTTAAGGCTTTGGGACTCCAGCGAACCACAGGGAGAGCCATTATCCACAAATGGAGAAAACGTGGAACAGTGGTTAACCTTCCCTGGAGTGGCCAGCCTACCAAAATTACTCAAAGAGCACAATGAGAATTCATCCAAGAGGACAAAAAAGAACCCAGAACAACATCTAAAGAACTGCAGGCCTCACTTGCCTCAGTTAAGGTCAGTGTTCATGATTCAACAATAGGAAAGAGACTGGGCAAAATGGCATCCATGGGAGAGATCCAAAGGCAGAAGCAACTGCTGACCAAAAAGAACTGCAGGCCTCACTTTCCTCAGTTAAGGTCAGTGCTCATGATTCAACAATAGGAAAGAGACTGAGCAAAAATGGCATCCATGGGAGAGTTCCAAGGTGAAAGTCTTGCCTAGGGCAGCACAAAACTAAAATACACCACTGGACTAGTGAAATAGGGTTTTTACGTAGTACTGCTGCACTAAATACATATTTTGATAGCCCAACTCTATTGCTGCACTGCATAATTGTCAAGTTTTAGTGACACTTTGCTGACTTTTTTATGCTCCAGAATGCTTCCTGTAGTATAATAGGTGCATAGAGCGGTAGACAGAAATTTGCATATTTTCAAGAACAGCAACTGAGTCTGATGTTATTTTATCAGAGTATCTTAAGCTGATAGCTCTGAGAACGTTGGGTTCCCTATTTGGCATTTGTAAATTTGAGTCCTTTCTCCCCATGTTGTTTGCTGACATTCTGTCTTATCTATTATAAAAACAGCATTGAGATTTTGTATTCTTGATCCAGAAATCAATTAATGTCACTGTCATTAGGTTTATTTCTTTCCATCAGACATAATTATTATTTGTGAGTTTGATTTCATTCTATAATGAATGCATGACATGCCGTATAATATTACAGCAGCAGATGCCTATGGCAACAAATTGGTCATGATTGAATAGTTCAGTGAGTCATATGCCAAATGACCAGATGTAATAAGCCAAAAAGAGAAAATGCCTTTCACTATTATATATTATGTTATTTTGCAGGCTGGTTATCAAATTACTCAACAAAGGCTTCCAATTGCAGTTAATGGGCTCCTTACATACCGCTATCCATCCGGTAAAAAGAAAAAATGATATGGTCACCAAGTGTGTCACGATTAAACAGATCCAGCTGGAGCAAGATAGTGGTAAAAGTCTTCATGATGACTCTAGGAGGCAGACACTCATTGATCTAAACAGAGCAGGTAAGTGTTTACAGTAGTTTGCAGGCATGTATTTGAACAGTTGGCTCCATTTATCTGTTCATGTAGATTGGATTAGGATTTATATACTTCTAAGGTCCTAAAGTAGGTTCCTAAAATAGCTACTATAAAAGGCTTGTAAAGAAAACCAAATTTGTAGTGCTGTTCGAAAAGCAAGTTAAAGCTGAAAACAACAGCAACAACAAGGTAAAGCTCGAAAAACAACCAGATACAGATATGAAATTCATACAAGGGATCCGATTTATTTACCAAAGGATTTACAGTGCCTTGAAAAAGTATTCATACCCCTTGAAATTTTCCACATTTTTCATGTTACAACCAAAAGCGTAAATGTATTTTATTCGGATTTTATGTGATAGAGCAGTGGCATCTAATTGTGAAGTGAAAGGGAAATGATAAATGGTTTTCAACTTTTTTTATTATATTCAGCTTCCCCTGAGCCAGTACATTGTAGAACCACATTTTGCTGCTATTACAGGTGCAAGTCTTTTTGGGTATGTCTCTATCAACTTTGCACATCTAAAGAGTGGAATGTTTGCCCATTCTTCTTTGCAAAATAGCTTAAGCTCTGTCATTCTAACTATTCTGACTGGGCCATTCTAACACATGAATATGCTTTGATCTAAACCATTCCATTGTAGCTCTGGCTGTATGTTTAGGGTCGTTGTCCTTTTGGAAGGTGAACCTCAGCCCCATTATCATTATTATTATTATACAGTATTTATATAGCGCCAAAAAGTTTGCTCAGCGCTGTACATTATAGGCCCAGTCTCAAGTCTTTTGCAGACTCTAACAGGTTTCTTCTAAGATTGCACTGTATTTGGCTCCATCCATCTTCCCATCAACTCTGACCAGCTTCCCTGTCCCTGCCGAAGAAAAGCATCCCCACAACATGATGTTGCCACCACCATGTTTGACGGTGGGGATGGTGTGTTCAGGGTGATGTGCAGTATTAGTTTTCCGCCACACATAGCGTTTTGCTTTTAGACCAAAAAGTTAAATTTTGGTCTCATTTGACCAGAGCATCTTCTTCCACATGTTTGCTGTGTCCCCCACATGACTTCTTGCAAACTGCAAACGGGACTTCTTATGGGTTTCTTTCAACAATGGCTTTCTTCTTGCCACTCTTCCATAACGGCCAGATTTGTGGAGTGCGCGACTAATATTGTCCTGTGGGCAGATTCTTCCACCTGAGCTGTGGATCTCTGCAGCTCCTCCAGAATTACCATGGGCCTCTTGACTGCTTCTCTTATTAATGCTCTCCTTGCCCGGCCTGTCAGTTTAGGTGGATGGCTATGTCTTGGTAGGTTTGCAGTTGTGTCATACTGTTTCCATTTTCTGATGATGGATTGAACAGTGCTCTGTGAGATGTTCAAAGCTTGGTATTTTTTTTTATAACCTAACCCTGCTTTAAAGGTTTCCACAACTTTATCCCTGACCTGTCTGTTTATTTTTCCTTGGCCTTCATGATGCTGTTTGTTCACTAATGTTCTCTAACAAACCTCTGAAGGCTTCACAGAACAGCTGTATTTATACTGAGATTAAATTACACACAGGTGGACTCTATTTACTAATTAGGTTACTTCTGCAGACAATTGGTTCCACTAGATTTTAGTTTTGGGTATCAGAGTAAAGGGGGCTGAATACAAATACACGCCACACTTTTCAGATATTTATTTGTAAAAAAATTTGAAAACCATTTATCATTTTCCTTCCACTTCACAATTATGTGCCACTTTTTGCTGGTCTATCACATAAAATGTCAATAGAATACATTTACAATTTTGGATGTAACATAACAAAATGTGGAAAATTTCAAGGGGTGTGAATACTTTTTAAAGGCACTGTATATGTGTGTCTATCAAATCCTGAGTTATATGCTGTCCTTTTGTCTACTACAGTTAAACTATACAGTGCATCCAGAAAGTATTCACAGCACTTAACTTTTACCACATTTTGTTATGTTGCAGGCAGCCTTATTCCAAAATGGATTAAATTAATTTTTTTCCTCAACATTCTACAAACAATACCCCATAATGACAACATGAAAGAAGTTTGTTTTGAAATCTGACACTCAAAATTGAGCTCTGGTGCATCCTGTTCCCACTGATTATCCTTGAGATGTTTCCACAACTTGATTGGGTCACCTGTGGGGAATTCAGTTGATTGGACATGATTAGGAAAGGCATAAACCTGTCTATATAAGGTCCCACAGTTAACAGTGCATGTCAGTGCACAAACCAAACCATGAAGTCCAGGAATTGTCTGTAGACCTTCGAGACAGGATTGTATCAAGGCACAGATCTGGGGAAGGTTACAGAAATATTTCTGCAGCATTGTAGGTCCTAATGAGCACACTGGCCTCCATCATCCGTAAATGGAAGAAGTTTGGAACCACCAGGAATCTTCCTAGAGCACGCCGCGCAGCCAAAATGAGCGATCAAGGGAGAAGGGCCTTAGCAAGGGAGGTGACCAAGCATCCGATGGTCACTCTGAAAGAGCTCCAGCGTTTCTCTGTGGAGAGAGGAGAACCTTCCAGAAGAACAACCATCTCTGCAGAACTCCACCAATCAGGCCTGTATGGTAGAGTGGCCAGACAGAAGCCACTCCTCAGTAAAAGGCAAATGGCAGCCTGGAGTTTGCCAAAAGTCACCTGAGGGACTCTCAGATCATGAGAAAAAAAACTCTCTGGTCTGATGAAACAAAGATTGAACTGTTTGGCCTGAATGCCAAGCATCATGTCTGGAGGAAACCAGGCACCGCTAACCACCTGGCCAATACCATCCCTACAGTGAAACATGGTGGTGGCAGCATCATGCTGTGGGGATTTCTTTCAGCAGCAAGAACTGGGAGACTAGTCAGGATTGAAGGAAAGATGAATGCAGTAATGTACAGAGACATTCTTGATGAAAACCTGTTCCAGAGCGCTCTGGACCTTAGACTGGGGCAACAATTCATCTTTCAACAGGATAACGACCCTACACACACAGCCCACATAACAAAGGAGTGGCTGCGGGCCAACTCTGTGAATGTCCTGGAGTGGCCCAGCAAGAGCCCAGACTTGAACCTGATTGAACATCTCTGGAGAGATCTGAAAATGGCTGTGCACCGACGCATCCCATCCAACCTGATGGAGCTTGAGAGGTATTGCATGAAGAATGGGAGAAATTGCCCAAAGTTAGATGTGCCAAGCTTTTAGCATAACACTCAAAATGACTTGAGGCTGTAGTTGGTGCTAAAGGTGCTTCAACAAAGTATGGAGAAAAGGCTGTGAATACTTATTTACATGTGTTTTTTTTTCGTTTTTTATTTTTAATAAATTGCAAAGATTTCAAAATTAACTTCTTTCACGTTGACATTATGGGGTATTGTTTGTAGAATATTGAGGAAAAAAATTAATTTAATCCATTTTGGAATAAGGCTGTAACATAACAAAATGTGGCAAAAGTTCAGCGCTGTGAATACTTTCTGGATGCACTGTACAGCTCTTTCTCCTCCCTCCATCCAGCATATGACTGGGCAGTGAAAGAACTGCAGTATGCTTCTTGTCAACAAATTTTACTTTGACGTTCACATTGTTGTGTTGCGTTAGCATACAAGTTAATATGCATTGCACTAAAGCAGCCTCTTCGTTTGAATGGCTTGCTTAAGTAAAAAAGGTACATGTATAATTTTTGCAAGTGCACAGCGCAATGGTGTGAATGGACCCTTTTGCTTGTCACCCCTCTACAGCCTGAGTACTGCTGCATAAGGCATTGCATCAGACTGATACCAAGAATTTATATGTTTACATTAGTTGCATTTAAAAATACACATCAGTGTATTTTAACTGTTTCCCGCCCACCCACCTGCAGTGTACTGCGGCAGGGCGGCAGCTACAGGCAAAGTGACATACCCGTACGTTGCTCTGTCTGTACTAACACAGGGGGCGCAGCGCGCCCAAGCGGGCACAGAGTGCTCCTCCCTCGCGACTGCTGTGTTCAGCAGACACAGTGGAATGAAGATCCCAGTGAACGGGACTCGGTGATCATGTAATCACTATGTGATCACATGATCACAATGTAAGCAAAGCGGTTATGAATATTATTCATAACATCTCTGCTCCTCTTCCTAGTGAGCTGTGATTGGCCCACAGCTGTCAAATGATACATGGGGCCAATCACAGCACCCTGTACCATGTGACCAGCTCCAGCCAATCACAGATCACTATCTTGAGCTGTCAAAATTCAACTCATTCATGACAGTTCATGAATGAATTAGGTTCATGACAGCAAGCTTTGCAAATTATATTTCCTATTTTGGGGTGTGAACGCACCTGCGCCCCCCTCTGCCCGCACTGAGTAAAAGCACTACATTTTACACACACGTTAGATTAGCTCATTTAACATGCAGATCGCCCTTTTTAACCCTTTGATCACCCCGTCACCCAACCAGTGCCATTAGTACAGTGTTAGTATATAGAATTTTTCACTGATCACTGTATTACTGCCTCTAGTGACATCAGATAGCGTCAGGATCAGTAAGCACTCCACCCAGTCAGGGTCAGCTAATGTTAGATTTCCCGCACACTATTGCACTCACGGTATAGGTCGCTGATCACCGCCATTACTAGTATAGTGTTTGTATGGATCAAGATATTGATCACGTACAGAACTATACTATCGCCTCTTTTGTATAGTGTTCCCAAAAATGCAGAGTTAGCAGGATTGGCCCTGTTTGCTGCCAGCACTAGCATTTAGGCCTTCCACTTTTTTTCACAAAAGATTTGTATCAGTTGATTGTGGACCAAAGCAATTTTTACACACAACAATACATCTCCGCCCACCCAAATTCTGCTGTTGCCAGACAATTCACATGGAAACCTATCACGGTTTCTGAATTTTAAACTCTTTTGGGCCTAACCCTCAACATGGGCATTACAAAAAAGAATGAATTGCGGCCATATTAATCCACAGAGCCAATTCATCATATGTCCATGATCT